TCAAAATTTAGAGTTAGCCCTGCAGGTAGAGCACAGTAGTTTTAAAGCATTACCCCAAAACAGAAAACACCGTAATTCCACTTACATAGTTTGCCTGTGTACAAACCAAACTAAACCAAAACAAAACCTCTTAATTTTAGGTTTTAAAATATCTAAAATGCTTAACCACTTAAAATTGCAAGGATCACACTTATTATCACTTTTGTTATATTTGAAAATACTAATCAAAATCACAGAAGAAGATAACATAAATGGGTTTCCAATGATCTCACTCAGAACCATAATATATGTAAAAGCATCCTGTAATAAAGTTATATCTTAAGAATAGACATTTTTCAAAACTATATACTTCTGCCAAGAAACAGGTCAAATGGAATGGTTATTGTGGGATTAAAGAAATGTACAGAATCTAATTTTAAACTTTGTGTTCATCTGTATGCTACTGAACACAAACTCAGAAAATGGGTGAGCTTTTCAAGTCCTACTTTTGAATGTTTTACTGTTTCCTTCGAGGATATACAGTCTGTTTCAGAGGAATTTGGGAATGAATTACTAGGAATCACAGGCTGAATTATAAGCAGTCCCTAAAGTTCCCCTTGTGTTTCTTTTTTTTCTTTTGATTTCTAATAACTCCTATTAAAAAGAAACTCGCTCTGAAAAAGATTCTGTAAGAATTTTAAAGATTTTATGTGGCAACTGTTACCCTCTGTACATGCCATCTCCAGGTTCTGGCTCAGCTGTGTTCATTTCCCAGGATGTGACACTCTGAGGACATTATGATTGCCCTCTGCAAGAGTTTTGCAGTGAGCAGCCTGCCAGAACACAAAGACCCGCCCCTCCCTCATGTTATCTTTCTCTGTGCTTCAAGTTTAATATGTAGTCTCATTTAACCATTGCTTTCTGTCTCCAGATTATCTTTAAAATGCAAATAGCTTTAGGAAAAATAACTAGCTCAAACAACCTAATTCTAAGTAAACTTATTAGCTATTTTCTTTAGCAGCAAGAAAGAACATTTTTGCATGTAGAGAGAAGTTAAAAGAGGAGACAAGAACCTACAGCAGATGCAGAGACACCAAAGAAAATTGTATTACCTCTTAGAATCAAAAGGGTTTGAGGCAGAACTCACTGCTCCTAACAATTTCTACTCTAAAGTAGCCTTTGATAACTGCTAAAGAAGAATGTAAATTTTTTGTTTTCTCCCAAATAATCTCTTTCAGTACAGTTTTGCAAATACTAAGTGATTAAACTTAAGAAAGACAATACCTTAATAAAATTGAATCCCTTGTGGATGGCAAAAAAATACATAGCTTTCTGATACCATGACACTGTGATATGTAGAACTGGGTCTTGGCACTACTGCAGTCTTAAATGGCCAACTGATTCTTTCGTTTCTGGCACTCTTCATCCCACACAAAACATGCTGGCAATGAGTGCTTTTAAAGGTCAAAGGCTGGAGGAGGAGGGAAATAGTCCTTTCTTGAGAATCTTTTAACTGGAACTGAAATAGGCTTCCCAAAGGAGGATAATAAAAGCAGGTATATTTTCTCCACCATTCTTTCAAAGTTTGCTCAAAAAACAACAGGGTAAACCCAACTCAAAACTCATCACAAATTCTACCTGTAAGCAATCTGTTCCATGTAACCAAAATGCATCAAGATAGATAAAGGATAGAATAAAAATAGATGACTTGTCAAAGAGAAGAAGGTACAAACTTTAAAAATGTCATGGTAAGGAAAATACCAAGAAGTAAATGTATTGATCAGTTCTACTGGCACTCCACAAAACTCAAGATTTCAAGTAAACAGTCAACACACTAGTGAGGAGAAGGTTGAGGGCTGAAAAGAGAAGTCATCATATTGAAAAAGAGAAATAAATCTCTCTGTCCTTATTTCCCTTATCTACAGAATGGAGATGATGATCGTGCACACATCCTGGAGTTGTAAAACATCTGGACCATGAGCCTGGCAGGCCCTCGACTGCTCTATTGGTTTCCTCATTGTGAAGTCCAAGTTCTATTACCATGGCTGTCTCTGGAAACTACTGAGATTTAGGGACTAGCAAAATATCATATAAAAATGGTTTGAATAATTATTACTACAGCAATACACTGATGCACAGGTGGACACTTCTCGTTACTCATTATTATGGTTTGGATCTGGAATGTTCCCCAAAAGTTCATGTGTTAAAGGCTGGGTCCCCAATACAGCAATGTCGGGGGGGGTGTCTTAGGGAATGTAACTGGAGACTGAGGGCTCTGACCTCATCAGTGAATTCATCTAATCATAGCTGCAAGGACCACTGGGAGGTGGTGGACACCATTGGGGACAGCGGCATGGTGGAGAAGATAGGTCACAGGGGCCATGCCCCAATAAGGTATTCCTTACCTCCTCCTTCCTAGCTGCCATGAACTGATCAGACTTCCTCTGCCACACCCTTCCTCCATGATGTTCTGTCTTAAAGTAATGGAGCCAAAATATCATGGACTGAGGCCTATGAAACCATGAGCCAAAATAAATCCTTACTTCTTGAAGTGTTTTTTTTATCAATAATGAAAAGCTATGTAACACAAGCCCAATATAAATTATCCACCTCTTACAAACAGTACCTGATTTAATCCAATGCAAAAAAAATAATTAAATAAAGGAATACATTTCCCATCCAGTGAAATAGAAGTAGAATCTATCAGACAGGGGATATAGGAAACTTATTTTAAAGAGAGTATGCTCCTCCTTAATTGTTCCTATTTCCACATTCTTTCTTCCTGGAATACAGATACATTTTCTGCAACCACACTTGTCTTCTCGTACCATGAGGTAGCCTTAACATAGAAATATGTTAAGGCAGAATAGAAGGAGTAAAAAGAAAGACTATTTTCCATAGTATAATTGAAACTGCCAGTCAAACTCTGGAATTATTTTTTCCATAATTTCTATAAGACAACATAAGTTTCTAACATTTTAAAACCTCTTTGAGTTTTGCATTATATGCTGCTGAAAACAATCCTAACTGGTACAGATGCTTATAAGGTTTCTGTTTGATACGTATGAAATCTTTTTGAAGAGATTGGTGATCAGTTGAAAAAAACAAAAGGTAAGTAGAGTAAACCGGACACAGAAAGTCTGAGGTTGAATGCTTTCTGGAGAGAAATAAGTAAATAAAAAAGGGGATTCCCATGAAAATAGCAGGGGTTAGAGATTGAGGAGGATGAAAGAGAGACTGAAAAAGGAGAAAATGTGGAATGATATTGATCAGACTATACTATGTATGTATATGAATGCTACAGTACATCCATAAAGCACCAGTGTATAAATGAATAAGTAAATAAAAGAAAGATCAGTGGAGTAGAGGAGGGTCATTGTGCAGTACTGAACAGTGATCCACTGCAATAGATGTTCAGTCAATAAAAACACTGTGTGTGTGTGTGTGTGTGTGTGTGTGTGTGTGTGTTGGCAGCTCATGATTATATATGTTTCAAGATTAGGGGAGAGAAATAAAAATGGCTTTTCTTATTTAACATAATTATAAGGATCTTTTTTCAAAGGCTCATTTAAGTCTTGATATTATAAAAGAAAATAACAATACTGTTCGGCTTCCAGTAACGTGGGGGATTTTTCCATTCTCCCACCACATAGAAATCCATGATACAATCCTCAAATACACAAGGTATACATTTTTTAAAGTAGACTTACATAGGTTAGAACATAACCCATTGTTGTTCTAGACATCAACATGATTTCACAAGGACACAGAGCTGGGGTTGGAGGTAGTTGGATGGACCATGACATGGGGAAGCAGAATAAAGCTATTTGCTACTAAAATCACACTATCCTAATATATACTGAGATGGTCTTTTTTTGTGGTGGTGATCAAAATATCTGAGAAGAATAACTGAGTAGACAAAGAAAAGTTATTTGGCTCACGTTTTCAGAGGTCTTAATCCATGATCAACTGATTCTTTTGCTCTGGGTCTGGGGTGAGGCAAACCATCATGGTGGAAAAGCTTGGTATAAGAAAGCTTCTATGCTCATGGCAGCCAGGAATAAAAGAGACAGTGACAAGGGACAAAATAAAATCCCTAAGGAATGTCTCCAGTGACTTACTTCCTTCAGTTATGCCCCATCTGCCTAAAGTTAACACTCAGTAATTCATTCAAATTATTAGCCCATCAAATGGATCAACCTACTGATTAAATTACAACTTTCATAATCTAATCATTTCACCTCTGAACATTGCTACATTGGGGGAGACAACCCATATCCATACCATAATATACACCTCTGGTTATCTCTTTATGAACCCTTGGAAAATTTTAAATTTTAAAACCATCTATTGGTAGATACCTACATACCATTTTCACAGAAAATTTTTTTTTCAATTTTTTTTTTCAAAATGAAATAATAGAGGAGAAGGAGAACAGGTCATGGTATCTTTTCATGTAGGCTCTCTTAAGCAACTTTTATTTTTAGTCCATGTCAGTTTTATTTTGGTAGTACTACTCATCTTTGGAGAATGGAACCATGCCCTCATTCTCTAGATTAGAAGAGCTAGAGAAGGCTGTTTTAGCAGCAACACCAGAACCACAGTCATTCCCAAGGGTACAGCTCACCAGATGGGTCTGTCATCACCATAGTCCCAGCCTGAAGATTGCGGTATGCAGGAAATAGACACAAGATACATGCTGAGCCCAATTGCCACTTTATAATAACAACCTTACATTTTGGCAAGATTATCACCTTAGTATATTTAGGCCATAATCAGCTGGCTTGAAAACAACAGAAATTTGTTCTTTACTGTTCTGGAAGCTGGGAAGTCCAAAAATCAAGGCACTGGAAGGTTCAATGTCTGGCAAGGGCCCAATTCGTAATAGAGAGCTTTTTCCTTACTCTACCAAAGTCTAATTTAAATGAAGGAATGTTTAGAGTGAGAATCAATCCCAGACATGAGGGATCTGCCCTGCTGACCTAAGTATATCCCCAAGACCTTACTTTCTAATATCCTACCGTGATAGTAGAAGCAAATGTGACTCCATTTTGTTTTATGACTTCATCCTGTAAAATAACCATGTAAAGTAGAAGAGTCATGACTGGGGCAAGATGTTCTTTTCCTTTTGCTATAAAAACCTTTAAGAACACGGAACTAACTAATGGGGTATTGTTTCTGTAACTAGGGCAACAGGGCTCTGTTTCTGTAACTGGGGTGATTGGGCTGTGATTGGTTAGGCTTCCCTCCGCTTGACTGCACTGTCCCGGTTCTGTAACCTGTCTTGCTTGCATTGGCTAGACCCCCTGAACATCCCTTTTGTGGTTTTCAGGCTTATAAGGAGTGCCCTTGCAATTGTTCAGGGCTGACCAGGGGAACAGCTTTATGTTCTGGTCAGCCGCCACCGGTGTGCTTCAATAAAGGCTTGATTCGATTATACGTGAGTGGTCTGGAAGTCAGTTTATGAAACCCTGGGACGAAGCTTTAACTATAACACTACCTATTGGGTGAGATTTTCAGCATATGAATTTGAAGAAGCACTGTATTCAAATCATATCAATGATATTTATTTTGAAGATCATATTTGATATAATCAAGCAAGATAATACTAATGAAATAACACTAATGGTATTTAAAATGTCAAATTAAAAATTAATTTATTCTGAAATAATTTTATAATAAAAACACTATACATTATCATTTGTAAAATACAGAAGAAGTAAAACTTAGAAGGAAATTCATAGTATTGAATATTTATACTACAAAAAAACAGAAAGGTTAAAGGGTTATTAACATATCTATCTGAAATTTTGAAGAATAATAGAATTAAATCAACAAAAATAGAAATAGAGATAATTTTAGATATCAAAAAATCATTTAGAAATATTGAACAGTTCTTAAAAGGCCAAAAAATATTCTTTAGGATAATATTTCTTTAGATACTGCTTCTTTAGTTGGGCATGGTGGCACACACCTGTAATCCCAGCAACTCAGGAGACTAAAGCAGGAGGATCACAACTTAGCAAGTCCCTAAGTAACTTAGTGAGACCTTGTCTCAAAATAAAAAAATTAGAAATGGCTGGAGATATAGCTCAGTGTTTGAGTGTCTCTGGATTCAATACCCAGGGAAAGAAGGAGGGAAGGAAGGCAATGAAAGAAAGAATATTATTTATTTAATATAAGATAAATAAAATAGACAAACTTCTAATGACACATATCAAGAAGAATAAGAAAGAGCACAGGAAGTGATATTATGATATGATGCAGAGAGCCACTCTTTCTCTCCCCTGCCTAAAAATATAATAGTCTACCTCAATTCTTGATTACATATGTCTGCTTGGCTCTGGTATAGTACCTTGTTGTTTCCCTGAACAGTTGTCCAGAAGTTGCTATACAGGTGTTTTGCTGATGTGAGTGCCATTTATTATCAGATGACTTCTAATAAGAAATGAGGACCTGGCTGTGTGTCACCCTGTCTGTTGAAGGCCTTAAACATAGAAACTGTTTCCCAGAAAAGTAGGAATTCTGTTTCAAGACTGTATCACAGAAATCCTGTCTGAGTTCCCAGGCTGCTGCCTTGATCTATACCTTTGGGGTTCAAATCTGCTACTCTGAGTTTCCTGTTGGCTGAGTTTCCTATTGGCTGGGCCTGTCCTATAAATTTTGGAATTGCTACCCCTCATAACCACAGTAGCCAATTCCTTAAAATCTCTCCCCTTCTACCACCACTCCCTGTTGGTGCTATTCCTCTGAAGAATCCTAATGAATACAAAAAGTATAATAATATAATAACAATGTTTGAAATATGACAGAAAATTGACTAAAAATAAAAATTAAGGCCATAATTTGATATCAATTAAAGCAATTTAATCTGATTAAAACCTTTACATCAACAAAACACCAAGTTTGCATAGTTTTGTAGCTGAATTGTAATCCTTCTCATACAATCCATCATTAATTAATCTTATGATTCCTTTCAGACAAGAGAAATATAGGAAATGCTCTTTACCAAATTCCATGCATTATGTAAAAATATGACTATAACATTCAAAGAATAAAATGTGCATCCTAACCACCTCCTCCACGAAATGCATACAACAATTCTCAAACATAATCTTAGAAACTGAAGTCAACTATGGGTAAGAAAAAAAAAAAACACATCAAGTTGTTTTTTTCCAGAATATTCAAGGATGGTTAAACATTGTTAAGATCTTACATTCTTACTCATTACATTAGCAGATTAAATAAGGAAAAAATTATTTCAATATAATGAAGAAAAAAAAGCTTTTAATAATATTCAATGCCTATTTATGGTTTCAAATAAAAATGAGGAAAGAAACTTTTCCTAAGAAAGATAAATACCAAAAATCAAAAAGAATTAGGTAGATCAAGAGGTTCTGATGTGTTATTTCACAGCAGGATAATTATAGGTAGCAATGATAGGAGAGGATTTTTGTAAGTTTTCACTATAAAAAAATAACAAATGTTAAGGAAGATGTTTTTAACCTGTTTTAACATTGCACAAGGTACACAAGTATCAAACATCACATGGTACCTCATCAATATGTACAGTGTTATATTTCTATGTATCATTTAAAATGCATTTATTTAAACAAGCACACTTGTATACATCTAAGTCCTACACTCTAGAGAACCACCTGCCCACATAAACCAAGACAAGCCAAGAAGAGCAGATCAAAGTTTTATAACATTCTCATAAATGGAGTAGCATATAGTGGTGGAAGTAAATGAGAGCTCTCTGCCCCAGTACAGATGCACAGTAGAACCAAACATAAAATGAAGAACACAAACACCAGAACACAATTTCAGAATAAAAATTACTCATGTATAATATTTTTAGCACATATCAAATTATCATTTAATTATTTAGTATAGGCCAAGGAAAAAGCTAGGGAAGAAGTACACAGATAGATGATGGAGAACAAATAGTGTTTTAGTTCTTATGGTTAAATGTGTGGCGATAGTTTATATATTACATATGTGTGATATATATGTCACATACATTCTATAAATGCATTTATGTGTGTGTGTGTGTGTGTGTGTGTGTGTGTGTTGGGTAAATCATGCTTAATGGAGCAAAGGAACTGTGTCATCTCTGGAGTCAAGTTCATTTGAATAATTTCACTAATTCTTTCCATTTCTTTATTTTCTTGCCCCATCCCCTTAATATTGTTGCTAGAATTCTATTTGATAATTATAAGAGCAATAAAGCATATTATCAAAAAGCTGACATAGTGGAAATATTAAAATGAAAATCATCTGCCATTCCACCATATAGCAAAAAATCACATTTACAAGTACATTACACATGTATACACATACACAAAAACAACCGAGAAGTTGTATAAGTACAACTTTGTCTGAGATCACATATTATGTGATGAAAAATTAGTACAATGTGAACATTAAATATATATGTCAAGTAATGTACAATATTCACCAACATAAAATATACTATATTTGGTATATGAGTTATATGTATAGTATATATGTATTATACTACATTATGTACTATAAAATGTATAATATATTCAAAATATTATTTTAATATTTTTAGTAATATAGATTGTGTAACCTTATTATGTAACTATATATTATTAACATAAACTACATTATTATAAAGTGTATTCTATAGTATCTATATGTAATACCATGTAACGTATGTAATCACATACTGAGTGTTTCTCATATTGCTTAATATTTTGCAAGTCATTATTTTTCATGGCTAGAGCCTACACTAAGAATATTTGTTTTACCCTTGCACTCAGTTGCACTTTCTTTGCCCAACATCGAGTGGTTTTCCTCTTGACTTGTATCACCCAATTATTCCTTTAAATGTACTGGCATTTTTCAAGGCTATTGGAATATCTATACAATAGTTGAGGAGTTTATAGTAAGCTTATCATTAGTAGGAACAGTATTAGTAATCATGTAAGCTTGAAAATATAGTGTCCCTTTGCTTTTGGAGAATTCAAAATCTCAATTCTTGTGAACATTTATTAACTCAAGTACCGGCACAATGAAATATCCAGTCAACTGAAGTAGTATTATACTTAGGTATAATCAGAATTTTTTTAAATGCTTAAATATAAGAAATATAATGGATAAAGTTGTTATTGAGTTTTTTTTGACTCTTGACAATGAGGTGTTAGAGTTTCTTCCTGATCTCAAACTATGGTTGCTACTCCTCTCTGCTCTCCTTAGCACACTCTAGGTGAAGAGAAAATGCAGTACTACAGCACTAACAGATTCTCACTCCCACCTCCATCACTGCTGCCTTTTGTAACACTTGACTCTTATTAATTTTGTCTCTTCCTAGGATGGAAAAGTAAGAGATTCAATAGAAAGTATAACAAATAAATGATATTTAATTTTAAAAAGTAAAGAAAAATAATACATTAATTGCCTTTCTGAAAGTCCAGTCATTTTTTTATGTTATCCCTTGGCCATTTTCTGTTTGTTTGTTTGTTTGAAACACGCAGCAGAATTGAGAAAACTATAGCCAATGAAAATCAACAATCTTTTGATTCTCTTTGTATTTTTAGAACCCTGGATAAAATACATCATATGGAACTATGAAGATCAAGAAACATTTTATTGAACAGTAATTATATTTGAAGTTTCAAAGTAACTCGGATTCTGTGGACTAATGTGGTGACCTAGAACTTTAGGAGCCCTCAGGTTGTAGGATGGTGTTCAACTTCATGTCAAGACCCATTGCTCAACATGATCTCTGTGTTTGCCTGTGTCTGATGACCAACCTGCAAAGATCATTTTCCAGCCCTATGTATGGAATTGCTAAGGAAACCGAGGAAATCATGCCTCTAATGACATGCCTTTATGCTTCATGTAGTGAGGGTTTATACTGAAAATGGATTCACTATAAAAAAGAGCAACAAAGGTAGAAAAGATTCACATCAAAAGTTGCTTTTCTGAAGAATTAGGACAGAGCACAGAAGGGCTGCACTGCTATCCTTTCCTGCTCAACAAATTTCTACAGGTGTTATTTTTCATTTGTGTGGTCTGGAGATTGATGAAAGCAGCAGAGCTT